GCGTCATGTTACTATACCTGCCCGTGCTCTGCTAGCATGTTTGTTTCGCATGAAAACACTTTTTGCACTAACAACCTCTACCTGACGTCTTTTCCAAACCAGCATGCAGTTTCAACTGCATCGTTTCCCGCGCTCTTCAGCCGGGCACGCCAACCCACAACCTCTTGTTCGGCAAAATGGACAACCCAGTCAAGTCACGTCTTCAGAAAACCCTACCAAGCCCCGGATTAAGCCAGCGTCCTAAAGCAACAGAACATGAAGAGTTGTGGAAACTACATCACATGTAAAACCGTTTCCTCTACAAAGTGAACCCACGACGTCCTCCAGGAGGGGGCCCATAAGCCACCTGATAAAAGGGGATGACATCTGCCACTCGCAAAAAATAGGGACACCGCTGATGTGTTTCTTGTCGTCACGCTCATATGCTGCCGTGCTTTCTAGCGGACGCGTTGTCAGGCTATCACGTTGCCATGCTGTCATGTTGGCATGAGTCACGCGATGTTGCTGACACGTTGTCGCGCCGGATTGCTGAAGTCAAGTCACCCTGTCGCGCTGATTTGCTGGCACGCTTTGGGAACATGTCGGAACCGTTTGTTTGTTTGTTTGTTTGTTTATGTTTGTTTGTTGCGGAGATATGTGAGCACACGACATTGTGCCCACTTGGCACGTTGGAAACACGAAACAGCATTGAGGCGCTACACTTGATGGTGAACTTGCGATGTTGCCATTGCTGATGCGGAGAAAAAGGTCGTCACAAGTGCTGGGTGCAATGTTTTCAGAGCTCAGGACCCTAAGTGGTGCCGGAAACATTGTGAAGATCACAAACAACGAATTTGTTGCTTTCCACACCTTGTGGCCCTCTCTCCCCAAAGTGGCCGTTGAACAAGAACACAGACCCTGAGAACAGTGCCCTTCTTGAGGGTTGGAAGGAAAAATGTGGCTGGTTTTTCGCCATGGAGCTTGCCATGGAACATGTAAACACCCTTTCGGGGAGATTGGAAAAAGTCATCCGGAGCTCGGCAAGTCGCAGCGCTGGAAGAAATGCGAGAATTCAAGCGGATCAATGCATGTTTGGGTTCTGTGATTACCATAGGAAGTCATTTCTTTTACAACCAATATCTTCACAGGTACTGTTCTCAGAAATAACTCTAGTTCTCTATTTTCTATTTTCTTCAACTCTTCTGCGCACATCGAAGATTTAATTCCTCCCAGTGGCTGGGTTCGCTGACCCCCTCCTTTGCCAAGAGCTGACTTTTGATTTAATTCCTCCCAAGGGCTCCCTATAGTTGAGCCCAGCACATCACCATTGAATGATTGCAAGACATCAGAAAGAGACCTTGGATCAAACCAAAGCCTGTGATCATTGACCTCTTTGCTAAGAATTAACTCCTGATTTAATTCCTTGCCAGGGCCATTCTGCCCCAGGTTGCTTTCTATATCTATGTCGCTACAGTGTTCGTTACCAAGGACAACGCTGTACTTGATTTGCACAGGCATTAGATACAAAGCGAACACGCTCTATTTGTTGCCGGGGGAACCTGTCCCACAACGAGCTCGCGACAAGAAGAAGCATCAGGACCCAAAGAAGTAAGCCAGACCAATCAAGTTGAAGTCAATGCTGAAACCACCTTTGCTCCAACACTCTCGAGCCCACCCTATCAAAGAAGAGGGCACTGCGCTTGATTTGTCTCTAGGCTCCACGAGAGCAATTCTTCCAGGAGCCCTTCGTGAGGAGAACTTTGTGAGGACCTTTTTGACACGGTGGCCACTCCTGCATGGGAAGCTTGTCAGGTGGAGCTTGCTGTGCGATTGTCGCTCGAGGAGAATGAAGCACTTCGACTTGAGGTCGCAGCAACAAACTGATAGATGGAAGACTCAGGCGAGCGGGGAAGAAACGCATTGCTGTTCCCCCTGATGGCAATGCCGTGATTCAAGCTGCCAACCTTCCAATGTCAGTGTCTCAGTTACGGGCTGAGGTGGTGAAATACCTTGCTCCGTTGGCTCAGCTGTTTCGCGAGAAAATTGAAGGACACTTTGATGCCGTGACCCTAGCGTGACAATTGCAGCAGCCCTACAAACCAGGCCATGGGAAAGAATTAACTCTGGATGTAATTCCTGGGACCCATTGTCCAAAGCTATTGTGGACATGCGCCCCCTTACAAAGAATTATATATGTAACTCCAGATTTAAATCTCCCAGCCATTCCGACCAGGTCATTTGTGCCCCTGAACATCGGGACAGCAAAGAGTCCCAGAGTTTGCAGATGCAATAGGATAGAATAGGATAGAATATGTCTATTCCTGGAGGGTGTCGAAAGTGAGAAGTACACTCCGACCCATCAAGTGGGATCAACAGGGTGCCGAGAAGACCGTCTTGAACAGGCGGGAGTCGTGTGGGAGTGTACCCCATTTAGTAGTAAGGCCAGGAGCCCCGAACGTCGCGTCCTTGCTCCTACTCCTTCACCGAATCACGGGAGGAGTAACAAGTGCCACGCTAGTAGTAACAGGTGCCTTACTAGTAGTAACAAGAAGCTAGTAGTAACAAACTGTATAATATATATATATATATCCTGCTCAAAGCAGTGAACTGAAGGAGAGGACATTGGAATACGAAAAAGACCTGAAGCATCAAAGAGCCTTCCCATTCATGGTCGGAGCAAAGTTAATGAAGAATCCACCAAAGATGAGGAAGTGAGTTGCTCAGAAGATGTCCGAGATGAGGACAGCAACATGGCAGATCTACAGACTGAAGCCATTGGTTTCACCTGGTTTCACGTATTAACTCCTATTGAGAAAGATGTGGTTGTCACGGATAACGAGTTTTCTGCCTCGCGGCTTCTCCTCGCGCGTCGAATTGGATTGTACGTAGCACTAGACCGGACATTGGAGCGTATACTGCCGTGCTTCAACACAAGAATAGCAGGGCATATGTGAAAATCGCCATGTGCAGCTTTCATTTGGATGTTCTGCTTCTTGTTTGCACTACTGATACTAGTTGGGCTAACACGGAAACTCTTGGAAGTCAGGCCAGAGATCTTTTTCTGGCTATATAGACACAAGCAGATTGGACACAATCAAGCCCGGGCACATGCTTCCGTGTTCACGGTGGATGCGGAAAAAGACATGATATGGAGAGAAAAACCGTGTCCAGCTTGGGAGCTAAACTTCTTTCAGCACTCAGAGGACCGGCGGAATGCAACTGCTTGCGTTCCATGTTCTCCTTCCGGCTTTGCTCATGAAGACCTTGACGGCTAGACAGGCAGATGCGAAAAGCAGTGCTCTGACACAGAGTGGGGCCAATGTTGACTTCCTGTTGTTTGTTTTGAAATTTGGAAAGTTCTTTCGCGTTGATGAGAAAGAGAGCTTGGATTGGAAAGCTCAAGAACGTGAGATGAGGGAGGCAGGGGAGAAAAAGACTTCTGCTTCCCATTGTGCAGTCCCAAGCTGAAGTCATGATGATAAATTGTTTAGGGCAGTTTAGGTACAGTATGTTCAGGTAACAGTCTCACACACACGTGAAACAAACGTGTGATGATAGGGAAATGACCTGCTGCTGTGCCAGTGTGACCAGATCTGTGACCAGATTTGTGGTCACAGCAAGGCAAGCTTGCCAACCTTGGTTGCGATCCAAAGACTTACAGTATCTGGCCCTAAAACATGACCAGCAATGGCGCTGCGCATGAAAAGAGCTCCAATCCTTCCTGCCCGTTCACCCGGTCGTTGCGTTCGCTTCGCCGGCGGCCACGGCGGTTGACCTGGCTGGGGGGGGGATGTTCGCTCGTAGAGGCCGTCTCTGGTCGGCACGCCCAAAAAAAACCATGGTCCCCATTGGGTCTCGTGTGCATCCAAACCAGGCTTCATGTCTTGCAGAACTTCTGGACCTCTCACAGCTTCGCACGATGGTTTGCACGATTCGCGTGTGCGTTTTTCGCGGGGGCCCGTACCTTGGTGCCGCTCCCTTTGTGATGGACCTGTTCAGCGATTCGTGTCGGTCTATCCACCAGTGGTCGGATTGAACTGATTTGAGTCTGCTTGGCTTGGATTTGAAGGTGTGCAGAAACACATCGAATAGGCTGTGAGAATCGTGTGACAACCCGCACAGAAATAGCGTTCGACCTGGACAAAAGTCGACCGAAGCGAACGCTGTTGCGGGTGTCACTGTGTTCAGGAAGCACTGGCACTTCAGCCGGGTGTCAGGAGAAAACGGTCCAAAAAACAATTCGACTCCGCCACAGCGCAGATTGGGGGGCAAGGGTGGGCAGCGCGCCGCTCTTCGGTGTCGAGCGGCATGAAGGGCGTCGGCAGGGATCGCAATGCGGAAGGTGGGCGACTCGGGAGGGGAGTTTTTGCGGCGCCTGTCAAGCAGATTGTTTCCGCTGCAGTTTCAACCACAACGGTTTTCAATGCAGACATGAATCTCCTCCACGTTTTTTAGCAGCCACTCCATCTGCCGGCACCAGCTTCCCCCAGTCGCAAGAAGACGTGGGCGTCGCTACGGCGCAGGTACCGCGCGGCACGAGCGGAACTGCAAGGAGATTCGCCGGATCGTCCGCGTCGGCTGGGTGAGGCACGTCTCCAAGCGAAGCGAAGACAACTCACCGGGGTCACATCCCCAGGATCCCCACGGATCACGCTTGGGGCCGTTCACGCGGCGTGGGCGCCACTTCCGAACCCACCGCTTTCCCCCGGCCCCTTTTTAGGTCGCGAGCGTTGGCCGAAGGCGCGGCGCTGGTTGGCCCCTTTTTGGACCATCTTTGGGTCCCCGAAAAGGGACGGGAAGTCGCAAATGTTGGCGACGCCCAGGCTGTTGGGCATGGTGATGGTGGGTTGAATGTTCAATGGCAAATACACCTTCGCCGCCGTTGCCTACCATCAGTTGTGCCGAAAAAAATTGCCTCATTAGAGAAGGTGAATCAATCACCAATGTGCCAAATGATCAATGAATTGATCCATGGAATAAGCCTAGGTTGGAGGCCATCACTAGTAGGTTGGAGGCCATCACTAGCAGGGTGAATCCATCAACGTCACACCATCCCCAACTCCAACGGCTCGCATCGCAGCACTCGCTACACTCCCCGTCTCACACACCATCCGCGCGAATGCCACGGTGGTCCCGGCGCCGGGAGCCACCGTCACCTGCGATGGAAACGGTGTCTATGGCTCCGAGTGGATCAAGTGTCGAGGATCACTGATTTGAGGAGTGCCTAACCCTACAAGTCCAGTCTCCAGTCTCCTAACCCTGATTTAAGGATCCCTGATTTGAGGAATATGGCCCTGAGCACCCTCGGTGCCACAGGGAAGAGACAAATGGGCCCGACCACGACTCACGAACCATCCATAAACCGTTCCATGCCTAACCCTACAAGTCCAGTGTTTTTGTCTGACGAAATCCAATAACATGAGGTCTTTGACCTGCAGCGAAACATGAACGAAGCCAGATGGTCCAAGGCCATGTTCTACCGGTCTCAAGAAATGTGCGATATAAGCAAGTACACACGCGTGCAGTGCAACATGTTCACCCTCTGGCTGCAACGAATGCGTACTTTCCTGAAACCCGAACAACAAGAAACAAACGGATGTTGAAACGAAAAATGTTTTGAAACAACAACGTGCTTCCGGTCGTTTGGGTTTCCAGGTTGCTATGTCATTTGAGATCTTCCAACCAATGTCTTTCTTGTCATAGATGAACAAACATGGTGACAGCCCTTCTTCTGCACTACATCGGCTTGCAGCTTCCGAGACAAGTGCATGACTTTTGCTGTCTCCGCTGATCTATATAAGCATCTGTAGGTCAACACCCACATCCATGGTCCCATGGTGTTTACACAGGGGAAATCCTCGGCTGTTCAATCCCCCAAAAAGCACGCTTCTATCATCCAGCAACACGTGGACACTGAACAAAACTTCGAAAAAAGTTGGTGAAATGGTCACAACCATGTAAAACATGCCAAAGGATTCTCTGATTCATGAAGGTGCGTCTGTTTCCTCTTAGGGCGCCAGGTGTCTCGCCTCTTCGGTCAGTTCGTGAACACATGGTCCAACGGCCTAAGAATAGGACCCTCCATGGGGGTCGGCACCCGACATCCTCGCACAGGGTCACCCTCCAGGCCACTGAAAAAACGGTCCAACATAATTAAGTTATCAAGTTTCCCTCAAAATCTAGGAACCAAATGAATGGCGTGAGAAATCCTGCGTCCTACCTAGGAACGTCCTGTACCTACTAGCTACCTCTCCATGACTTTATTAAGTAAGCGCCTGCTACTTGGTTAAGTAGGCAGGGGGGTGCGGGCTAAAAAAAAGAACTCTCCCACGCCTGCAGGCAGCCCCTGACACCGGTTCGCGGTGTCGACGTAAAATCGCTTGAAAAGAAGGAACGTGGAGACGTGGATCGCTTGAGCGACAGGTCGGTCTAGGTTTCTGACAGGTGCGAAGCAGCGAGAACGAAGCAAAAGAAAACCGCTTCATCTTCATGACTGCCTCCCAAAATCTCATCCTGGGCGGTTCCTAGCGTTTCCGAAGACAACCCAGAAACCACCTCGGCCTGGGGTCCAGTTTTGGGGTGGTTCAAGGCCGTGCCTCGTTCCCGAATGGATGAGTCAAGGTCTCTGACTTGACCGGGAGGGAGACCGAAGAGAGCCAGCCAAGGGCACCGGAAGGAGGAAGAGTTTGGATGAAAGTTGGGAAATGCCAAGGGTTTCCTCTCAATTTGACCTTGGGAGATGTTCATGGAAGGGAATTGAAAGCTGTATTTTTAAAAAACGGGTCGACCAGGACTAGATCTATGACCTGCACAGCGCTGGGCAACCATGCATGGAACTGTCAGCATGAGAAAAGGAGACTGGTTGATTCCACGCAATCAAATTGATTAGCTACCCTCCGTCCAACCATGGAAGAGGAAGACCACAACTCCGCTGGTGCAAAACACTTTCATCATCTTTCATCTGCAAAGAACTGCAAAGAAGCATAAAGAAGCCAATTCCCAAATCATCCCAAATCCATGTTTGTTGGAGGGGAACCTTAGTTTTTCAAAACATCCCGGAGCAATTCAGTCCGATGCCTGCACTCCTCCCAATGCTGGGATCGCCTCCTCATGCTGTGGGACCTCATGGCTGGTTTCGGCGCGTCTGAGGTGAAGGGGTGGGTGGCCACCACGGACGTAGCGATGGCCTCCATCCTAGAGTTTAGGTCAAGTGCAAGTACACAAGACTAGATTTGGTGGCTGGAACGAATCAAGGGGTGAAGTCACCGGCATCTGTCTCTTCTTGAAGCGGCGCCTGAGAAATGTCCCTTTCTCATCCTTTCTCCACCAGTCTTTCCTTTGCCAAAGCGAGTGATCACTCCGACAGAAACCCAGTCTGCAGATCCCCATGTTGGCCACCTGGCGGGTCGCCGGTCGCCAGTCCAAGGAACCCGAACATACCAATGCTTCGGTGCGCTGAAGCCGGTGCTGGGGGTGCTCTGCGGTGCCTGGGTGGGCCGAAAATGAGAGAGGTGCCTGAAATCAGCATGGAAGTCTATGGAAAATTAATGGCGCCCTTGGGGGGGTCCATTTTCCCGAGAAAAAACGGGTTGTGAGCTCCACTTCCCATGATTTCAGGAAGTGTCGTCTTCTGGCTGCGGATCCATTGACTTCAACGAAAAAGTCACCTGACCTGGCATGGAGGTCCTTTTCAAACCGTCGCTGTGTCGTGGATCGCCTCCCCCCATCGCTCTGACCCTGAAGTCGCCCGATTTCCTCCACCACCACAGGTGTCAAAACGCCAAACACCAACAGCCAACCCGAAAAAAAGGCAGGTCCTCCTTGTGTGTGTGTGTTTTCTCTCTCTCTCTCTCTCTCTATGGGAAATCGAAAATCAGGTCATCTCTCCATGAATGTCCCATGACTTCCTCTCTCCCACGCCCTCCAGGCGGCCCCCACCCACCGCGCAGGATCCATCCCACTGACCACCGAGGGCCTTGGCACGGCGCGTCGGTTGGGGTTGGTCGGGCACCCAGACGCCTCCTCCAAGTGGACGGCAGACCGGCAGGGCTCTGGAGGTTTTTTCAAGGTGTGGTCCCGTGCTTGCCCAAGCTGTTCAAGTCGTGGAAATCAGTGCAGCCTACAGGAACAGGATGCAGCTCCTCTCGGGAACAGGTAGGCTGGCGATTCGGGCGATGCAGGTGGTCAACCTGAGCATTCATGACCACCGGTATGAAAACCCCTCAATGATTCAGATGAAAGAGGAGGCAGCCACTTATACTGGCAATTGATTTGATACTCAACTAAAGTTAAAAGCCCGAAAACAAAAAGACACAAAAAGTGTCTCCGACGATGGTCCAATTGGGGTGGCCCCAGCATGGCCCTGTCGCCTTCATCCATCTTCATCCCGTCTCTCCGCTTTCTTTGGCCCCGGACACCGTCTCATGTGGCACACCCTTCCCCACTGGCCTCAGTGAACGACCCCCCACGAAAGAAGCTACGAACGTCACAAGGGCATCGCTACCAGCAGCAAGGGCATTCCTACCAGTAGCTAGAAGCTACGAACGTCACAATGGCCCACGGACCTCCTCCCCCACGACCCACCTCCGCCCCTCCGCTCGCCTCTCCATTGGGTCAGGCCTCTTCTCAGGGATGTTGCGGCCGGGCACCTATGGACGGCGTGTTCGTGCCTTCGGTCTCCTTCTTTTTCGTCCTCGAAATCCAAAGAAGAAAAAGATGTGGGAGGTCCAAGTCCTCGAAATCCCAAGTCGGCCATGTACTGTATCAGCGAATTTGTATGCAAGAATCAGATTTGGTGCACCCCGAACACCTTATATAAATAGCCTTAAATCTATTTCCCTTCTTTTATCTTCCAATTATTTACATGATTTTACATGCATATAAATCACTAGTTAAAATCCTCTGAATAATTGGTTGTTGTTCCTTCTATTTGTCTTTCAAACAAAATCTATGTGGCTATATTATACTATCAAGACAAAAAGAACAGGCTACACCACCACCTCGGACGCCCAGACCTTAAGTCGATTGGCCACTGCCCTTTTCCTCACGGCCCCACGGCCCCGCTGTCATTTGCATCATGGAAATACATGGAAATGACATGAAATGACTTTCAGCATCTTTCAGCAATGTCCAATCTATAAATCAGTCCCTCAATCGACTTGAAACCCTTTTCAGTCCACCAACCCACTCACAGCAACATACGTCGAACGTTCGGCGAGTCCCGGGTTGATGCCTGGCGGCTCACCAGCAATCGTTCCTGATCGACGTCCTTCGCTGCGAGCCCCTCGAAGTTGGACCGAAGAGACCAATTTGGTGTCCAGCATAACAAAGACCATGGTATATAATGATAAGTACAACTGACATCCCAAACCCGCTACAACCTCCTCCAAGCGGTGCAAGAAACACGGAACACGCAGGTCCTGCAGTTGTTTTTCCAGGTCTGAGCGTTCCTTCCAAATCCTCGCGAGCGACGGTTTTGTTCAAAAAACGTTTTCAACTTCAACTAGCTCACAGTTCTTATATATATATATATAACTTGTCATTCTGAAAACTTCCGGAGTCAAGGGTGAAGAGGGTTCTGCATGCCTCACAAGGATGGGCCATGGAAACCTTCGGTTTCATCTTCCTTGACACAAGCCAAACTGGCTTAATGGCCGGAATGTCTTGTGCCTTGCGGCCCTGCGCGTCCCCCTCAATCTTTCATGTCAATCTCAACAACTCTACACTTCCAGTTCCCAATTGGACTAAGTTGGCCCTTGTCCCCATCAAATAACCCCTGCTGCGGTCACCGACCCAGCCGCCTCAGGCGCTCCGCGCGGGCAGCCATCAATTTGGAACGTTCTGCCTGGCGACGTCACGGCAGCGGCAGGTGTCAAAAACCCTGCGGCAACGCCGTGGTGCATGAGGAATCCAAACAAAGCATCTGGAGCCACTGTTCAAACGATCTGCTGCTTCGCTTTAGGGGTTTTAGCCGGATGACCGCAGGAAAACAAAGCCGGCAAGAGACTTCAAGCAGTGTGTCTGAAGGTCTGAAGTCTAGAAGCAGAAGGTCTAAAGATCTAGACGCACTGGCTGGAGAGAGAGGTGCCGTGATGGCGGTGATGGTGGTGATTGAGAACACTATGTGAAGAAACTCTCTCTTGAAAAAAAAACGTGAACAGAAAAAACAGCCAAAACGTGGTCTAGTTAAACCTGTTCCGCCCTTCCGACGCCCTCCGCGCCAGCTCGCGGCGTTCCTTTAAAAACCGGCCAAAAACACTGTCTCCACGGCGCAGCACGGCGAATGCAAATCTCAAGGTCAGACTGCCACCATACACGTTACATGTGTAACTAGCGAACTATGGTTTGGACACGAAGGTTGTGGCCACATATCTTCACACCCCCGCTCAAGCAAAGTTCGCTGAGTGAGCATTGCAACTAGGCTTCACAGTCGATTCCGTCAGTTTCTGAACTTCTTTCACAAAAACTTCCGATTCGGAATGCAGCACAGTCCATTGTCGCTGTGAAAACAGCTGCCAAACTGCCTTGATTCCAAGTGTTTCCGAATCACGCCACATGTTTGACGACGCAACCTTTCCCCTGAACTGACCATCATGGTGTATTTGGGTGGATCCGCTAGTGGCATCACAATTTCCTCAGGAACTTCCCTGCGAGGTGGTGGATCATAGGGCGCGTGAGGCCAGGGGCGTCTTCCGGCGGTGAATCCTCTGGAGGGACGGATGCAGCATCAGACTCCGAGCCGGAAGGCATAGTGACCACCTCCATGTCATCATTCTTTTCTTCCTCTTCACCCTCGATCTCAATCACCTTTCCAGCATCGTCCTCTTTCGAGGACAACGGACTGCACTCCTTCTTTTCGGCGCCGGCCTGTGATGAATTTTTCCTTTTCTTCAAAAGAGGTTTGTCCGAGCTCGACACTGCCGATGGCCCCTGCTCTTCACGAGCACGTTGTGGCCGCTCACTTCGGTCTCCCACCTCCACCTGCACTGAGACGTCAGGTGAGTCCACATGCACCGAAACAGTCGTTGATCCCACCGAAATGACGATCTTGCGCTTCGAGGTCATGGCCGAATCGGGACTTGAAATACTCCAAGCACAAAAAATGTCACCATGCAAAAAAGAATTGCATCCAAGTTCATGGACTTTAGCTGATGCGCGCTCTCTGATTTAATTTTCTGCAACGCAAGTCATCTTCATGAGCTCGTGGCATCAGTGCTCACACACTTGCGTGACTTATATGTTCACACAACGCTACACTGCTTTCAACACGGAAAACGTGCCTTGCTTGGGCCCACTTTCATTCACATACGCGCGTCTATAGAACCAGAGCTGCAAGACAAGCCAGTCTCCCGGCAGAACGCCTGAACCGGTGACTTCTCCCAAAAGGCCGCGATTTTGAGAGCTCTAGGACTTTCACATGACAACGTGTCATGATGCCCTCACACTTATTGAGTAACACTTCAATCACGCCCCAATGGCGCTGCTGGATTTTTGCCCGCCTCACAGGTTCAGCACAGGCGATGCTTGGGGGGCGGAGAACCAACGCATCGAAAACAATTTAAGATATTCAGCCAGGATCATGTCGATCCATGCTTCCAGACGCTAGTGAACTGATCTTAGATCGTCCTCTTTGGTCACAGCCAAGAGGCACAATCCATGGAGTGTCCCTGTTTTGATCACCTGTGAAAATCCCCGACTTGTTTGCGCAACTCAATAATCAACTGTGAACACTTGCCTGACTTGAGGCCCGATTCGATGTCATCCAGCTTGCGTTGGCGGCGATGTCAGCCTCTGCATTCCTTGGACGCAGTTATTGGCGTTCTTGGGCGCGAACTGCATTCAAACCTGATACTCTTGGACTCGCAACCTCAAGCACTCTTGGATGGTACACTTCTCTAGTGCGGTGTCATCCAACAACACTGTCACACTGTCTCCACAGCGCAGCACAACGAATGCAAATCTCATGGTCAGACTGCCACCATACGTGCTACATGTGCAACTAGCCAACTATGGTTTGGACACGAAGCTTATGGCCACATATCTTTAGAGAGTGTGGCGGCGGTGTTGGGTGGTGAATGAATGTGGGAATGTGGTGGTGGTCACTGGACAATGTGGAGGTCCACGGCAAAAGTGCGATTTCCTCCTCGCCGGCCAATCACCCGGCGATCAATGGCCCGTTACTCAATCTGGTCGCAGGCAGCGTCAAAGGTGATGCGGCGTAACCAAACTAGGCGCTCCGCCGGCGCATGCCCCTGCCACTTTATCCATCGCTGAAAGCGCCAGAGCCCAAATAGATAGATCTGTGGTGGTGAGGTGACGACGATGATGATGATGGTGGTGGTGGTGGTGGTGGAAGGTCCAGTCTAGAGTTCTAGAGGTCCAAAAATAGATCTGCACTTCAAGGTCCACAAAGTGCAGCGCCTGCCACCAGGCTCCGCACCACTTCAAATCCTCTCGTTGGCCAAGTCCTACACAAACTTCCTCATTGTGGCCGGCACGGTAATTGCAGGGCTTTCCCTAATGAGTCTGTCGCCCTTGTGATTTGGGTGAGATTTCAATAGCATTTTTTTGCGCCTTTGCGGCAAACACTGTGCCTCATCATGGTAGAACATACGGATGGAGGGGCACCAGCCTCGATTGCCTTGACCTTGCTCTTCCACACTAAGAATCTGCACAGGGTCGCCCGCTTTCATCTTGAGGTAACCTCCTTCCAGTTCGTTGGACCCACTTGCATCTTCGATGCCGGCAAAGGCATCTAGACGATGGCAAAGCATATATGGAAGAGCTTTTGCGGCACAGGTTGTGGCATGAGCGGTAGGGATGGTGCTTCCGGGTCATCATGAGGTGCAGGTCGCATATTCTCTTCATGTACCCAGATGGCTTGCACTCGACAGTGTCTGTTGGGGATGTTTCGTGTGACGGGCACCTACTTCGCATGCAGCTTTGGACCACCAAAGAAGTCCCTCCCACCCCTTCAAAACTTCACGCTTCGGCTACTCCAGAGGCACTTCATTCCCGATATTGATTTGTATGTGGGCGTTCACCTATCATTCTTTGTCAGTAGGGATAAAGCCCTTGAATCTCCCAACCTGTTGTCTCGCAAAGCACTGCTGCGTGCCCATGATTGGTGTGTCTGGCGCATTCTCAGCAGTGGAGCCCGCAATGTTGAACTGTTGACAAAAACATCTGAGTCGAATGTCACCCAACACACCAGCAGGCTAATATGGTTTGGTTTACCTCCACCTTTCCCGGTCTGCCCACCCCACACCCCCTACTAAAGACTAACTTTGTTCGCATAAATGATCTTTCCTTTTCCATCTCCTTCATGAGCATGTCAATTGATCATTGGCTTGTGGCGAAAGCACCCTTTGTCCACACAGTGGCTTGAGAAAATCAGTAAAAACTACATAACGGTCATGACGATATGCCTGAAGGGCCCCAGTGTTTGGCATGTTTTTGCAACATAAACAAACTGGGTCGCACAGACGTGCTGCTAAAGAAAAGGCCGCAAGCCATCCGCATCAGTCTCTTACGATATCACGCAAGCTCGCATCTTCACCCATGATGCCTATATAATCATCATAATCACGATCTGGAGTGATAAATATAACGTGAGGGCCTCATACTTGACAATATGCCGATTTGTCCCTGTACTGAGGGCCGAAATTAAGCAACTCGCCCCAGCACTGAGAGGAATTGTAGAAAGTCCCTCTTGCCATGTGCAACAGATACAGTACACCCTGGAAGCTTAACATGGAACCTGAAAAGCACCGGGGTTGTAAAGGAACACTGTCTTCCAAAGGTCTATGTTCAGGTTCCATGTTAGTCTTCCGGGATGTTATATACAAGAATGGATGGGGTCCGGGGCTAGGCCTAGACATGCTTCAGCCCAACCATGTGACAGCGGGTTGTGTGCCACAGTTCATTCCAACCTCCGGCCACCGGTCCACAGCCGTCCACAACACTGGCCGCTGGACCAGGGAACCACGGTGAGCAAAGGGGGACCGGCAGGGGACCAGAACAAGTAGGACCAGGGCCCGACAGTCACTCGGGAACCAGAGGTACCAGAATGCCAGGACCAAAAACGTGGGACCAGGAGAGGACCAGAGGGGATGAAGGAGAGGACTCATCTTTCAAGATGCTTGTTGATCTGAAACAAGTTGATGTTGCTTTTGATAGCCCTCAAAAGCCCGTGGATTTGATCGCTCATCTTCCGAAATCGTGTCGCCACAAAGCCCGCAAACATCCGCCTACTTGGCACCATCTCTCTCCGCCGGCGTCGCGATGTGCTGTTTTTGGGGGATGAATGTATGGCGCGCCCCGTGGGCTGAGATTCGCCTCAATGGCGGTCAACATGAGGCTTCGGTCTTGCTCACATTGCCTCTGTTGCTCTAGAAGCGCCTGCGCAGCAAACGCGGGCGATGATGCTGGGGCCATTCCCCTCGGTCGAAGGGGCCTCGTTTGAAGGGAGCAACGCAAGTCTTTCTTTGGGATCTGGGATGCTTCATCCCACTTCCTTGAACCGTCTAACACGGCCCAGAATGGCTCAAATGTCCAGATCTGCTTTGACCTTCCCCTGCTCCGCGCCTGCTGTTGGCTTTGGGCCTCATGCTTCAGTCGGAAGATCCTCAGTCAGAGGAGTCTGGTGCGTCCTGGCCACCTAGCTGCTGGCTGGGTTTGGAGGAAAGCTCATTTCCATGCCACTCGAAAACGAAAAAAACAAAAAAACACGATGGCGGTACGAGGCCCACCACTTGGGCCCGCACTCGCTGAGCTGTTCTCGAAGCTCCTAGGCCCAAAAGAACCAGCAAGTCGATCAGAGGCAACATGAACATTAGATGAGCATGAGAGGATGTCACCTCTCCTGTGAGGCGGGGGGCGAGGGAACAAAGGAAACAAGTCTGGAATGGGATCCAGAAAGCAGCCGGATACATCGGTGGTATGTTTGCATGTGACGCTTCGCCGATGGATTTTGCTGTATGGACCCGGTGCACAATGACCACCCAGGAGCTCTGAAGAGTTCGAAGATCGGCCGCAAGACGTGCGTTGGAAGCTCCTCAATGGCCTTCTGATCCTTCATCAGCAACTCTCGCTCAGCCCGCACCTGCGAACCGCCAAGAGCTTCCAGGCCGCAGGGAAGGCCGCAGGGAGCGCTCAATGCGGCGCGGAAGGTCAGTTGGACATGACTCAAGCTAAAGCTGAAACTCGTCAATGCAAAGATCTGCATTGGAAATTCATGTATGCAGTTCGATGTCGCCATTTGGGTCTTCCCAGCAAATCTTTTCCATCCAACCTCTTTCTGGTTCTTTCAACAAAAAGCATTCAACCCACCAGCGCCAAGCCGCAAGAAAGGACGTTTGGATGATGGATTCGATCCTGTATTCCTTTCACCTCCAAGAACTCCCCCCCGTGTGCGCCCAAAACCGGCCAGGCCGCCAGCCGCGGCCATGGCCATGGCAGGGTCCATCGTCCATCGCATCGGGGCGCGGGACGCGGCGACCCGGGAGCGCATCGGTCGCACCTTGGAAAGCACATCGCGGCGCTCCTCCTCAGGATCGGTGTACCTGGGAACGGCTGAACGGCGGGTCAGCTGGCTTCGGATGGGCGGTTCGGCCCCGAAGGGAGGCGGAACCAGGCGGCAGAAGAGAGCCAATGTGGTTGGCCCCAAAAAACTGGACCAGCTTCAGAAGGCAGCTTCGTTTTGTGGCAAACATCGCTGCATGGGCATGGGCATGGATGTCAGCAGACCCCCAAGCAAGGGTGTTGGTCCATGTTCCAACCTGTCCCCTCTGATTTTGATCTTCACACTCAGGGCTAGGGTAACAGTTGACCGGACTGGAGGCTTCACAAAGCCACTAAAGGGCTGCTTGATCCAGACGTCTACGACCGAGCACGTTCCTCTTCGGCATCGGAACTCTGTGCCAATACGTCGGCTACGAGGCCGAGTGACCGTGGAAGGCGACCAACAAACACTCTTGTGCCTGGTTCGTGACATTAAAAGACTGCTAAACCCTGCCAAAGGCAACCAAGTGCTCGGTGTGCCCTCGTCAAATCTTCAACTGTGCTTCTCTTCCGCTGGTGCCAGGTGGTATACATTCTTCAACATTGAAGCCATTTATAGCTGGCAAGAATATGCAGGAATTCGACATGAATGATCTGCTGGACGTGTGTCACGAAAGCCAAGGATGTGCATTCATCATTCCTTTCAAAAAATCATGGCCCAGCCTCCGCCTGAGGACGACGAGAGACACCGGCCACGTCCGAGACACACCGGCTCTCCGGGATCCCCGCGGCGGCTGTCTCATGTCTCTGGGAGCCCCCAACGGCGCAGGTAGGGCTCGAGACCGTGGCTCCTGACTCCAGGCGGGTTCAGACCCCAGCCGAAGCCCTTCTCTCTCTAAAGACCCACCCAGTCCACCCCCCCGAAAAAAGACCGCGTTGGCCCATCGAGAGGGTGTTCTTGTTGGTTCCACCGCGCGTTTGGGTCCGCCGTTCTTCTTTCATTTTGGTCGTCCGGCGTCCAACTGTTCGGAAACCCCCACCACCCACCCACCCATCACCACAGACCTTCTCTTGACCCCACCCACTCATCACCCCCATCACCCCCATCACCCCCACCACCCACCCACCCACCCCAAACCCTCGCAGTACAGACCTTCTCTTGACCTGAGGCTTGTCGAAGAGCTTTGAGGTCCTTGCGGGACCACAATGATGGGTGGAATCGTTTTTGGCGGGGTCCCACAAAGCAAGAAGCTCCGAGGGCCTCTACTGGAGCTCCATGATTTCCTGGATGCAGCATGTTTATTCCAGAATTGGTTTAAGGTTAAATCTACAACCATTGTGTTCAATCCCAAAACTACGAGTTTCCTGTAGATTTCGCCTTCAACCAACTCTGGGATTCAAAACCTTGAGTGACGCAACTACTCAGACCAACAGGAGCTTAAGTTGAATGGCGTGTCTTCCTGTTTGGACCCTCTTCAAGCAACATGAGTGCACACTCCACTCCGACAGCATCCAAGCCAAGCTTCAACAAAAATGGATTCGAAGTCTTTTGAATAGGGGAAGCCCCAGCCAACAGCTTTGGGTGTACTTTCCTTCCAGTGGGGTCAAACTGGGTACATCCATTGACCTCTCGGTCTGACCTCTTCGGCTCCATTGACCTCTCTGGTCACGAAGACCAACTCATCCTGCGCACCGTGCGCACGCCACGAAACAGCGGTGTGGCGGCGCGGCCCAGCCCGGCAGCCGGGGGGTTGGAATCCTTGGACTTCAGTCATCCTTTTGGCCAAGCCAAAAGCTCCGTTCGAGTCGCGTAGCGTGGATCGCTCCGTTCGTCGTGCAGCTCCCGGAGCCCCGGAACTCGTTGCGTCCGATCGCTCCGTTCGTCAGCCCCGGAACTCGTAGCTTTGTACAAGCATTACCAGAGTTGAATTGGTCAGTTGATTTGCATTTCTTCCTCTCGGTCTGCGGACCGTCCTCGGACCGTGGCGTCGGTCGTGCGCTTCCCCCACCTGCATCTGCGCGATCCGCTTCTGGGCGGCGGCCGCCTCCACAGCGCTCTTCCGCTTGAGCTCACTCGCCTGGCTCTCCATTTTCTTCCACTCCAAAAGCCCAGAAAAGCCAACTGACAGACTGATACCATTTACCCCCAAGACATCGGACCTTCCAGATCCTGGCTACAGATCCTTCCCCCACCCCAACTCCACGCCTCATCCAGGCGGCCTCGGGCCTCCCGGAGCTGCTCCTCCAAGGACCGGCGATGCGCCAGCCTCAAACGCGTGTCTTCGACGCTGCGTTCGTAGCTCCTGGAATCGCTGCTAGTAACAAGAAGCTACTAGTAACAAAGGGCATTACTACTAGTAGCTCCTGGCATCGCTACTATGTTTTGTGATTGGTGAATTTGTTCCTTCTCTTCTTGGCTTTTGGTGCTTGAGAACTCTCACAGAAGGACCGAGTACTAGTACAACCGAATACACCTGGAGATGAAGGAGTGTTCGCATCTTTTTTCTCACATGCTGTTCGCTCTTTGCCTTTTTCCCGGAAGTCGCGTGCGCCTTCCAACCATGAGTTGTTCTGATACAAAGAGTTCACAACCCGAGGACGCTTGAAGAGGCTGAAGAGGTTCGCCAATTCTGTTGCGTTTGGTGTGTTTTCTTATGACTCCCTATGGCCCTATGAACTGCTTGCCCAAAAAAAGGAATAAAAACAAGCGTTCTGAGTCAAACTCATTTGGTCAAAAAAGTTGGCAAATCAGGTTGCATCAGATACCCTCCCCCAAAGGAAGTCTTGCCCCCATTTTTCGTTTGATTACAAAGTGTCTGGCCGCTACACAGCAACTCTGAAGCTCGCGGCACGGGCAGGGAAAGACCAGAACAAGTCGTGAACGCTCTTCGGTCTTAACAATCTGTATAATTCTGTATATCATTGGGAGTCCGAACTTGATCCCTAAAATGCCTCGTTGCGGCGGGACGTTGGACCTCCCCAAGACCGACCGACATCTCTGCAGCCCTGCTGTTGCTCGAGTTGTTGCCGCTCAGCCAACACCTGTTCAGTTCGGAAGAGAAACCACAGCGAAGCCACAGAAGCCCCGTTCACTGCAATCTTTAGCTGCTTTTTCTAGCTGTTGATTTTACCCGCTTTCATTAGCAAACCCCACGGAATATGTTCCTAAACAAACTCTGGTAAGTGGAAAACCAATCTAAGAGTTCACTTGGCTACTCCAATCCGAGAACGGCCCGCCAAACTGGACGCCCCTGTGTTTCCCCCAACGTAGCCCCCAACGTAGCCCCATCGGGGAAGCCTGTCTATCGCCATGTCGAAACAAGACTTTTTCGGGGGAGAACGACGGCACGGTTTGATTGTTCCTGCATTCGATTCCTCGGACTTTTGGAATGATTGGAAGTGTCCAAGTGTGGCACTAGTCTCGGATCATGTTTAATCCTCATCGTGTTAAAAGAAACAGGTCTAAAATCAAAAGGTGGTGTACAGGCCGTTCTTGGTGACCCCGTTCTTGGTGATGGGTTTGCACGTGCTTCTAGTTTTCTGAAAGAGGAGTTGCTGGGCTTGAGCAGTTTGGGGAGACTTCAACTCGCTCAATGCAGAAGTTTTTCCAACCCCAGTCCTGCAACTACGTTCCCTGTCACTCATGTTGGCAGCTTCAACCCCAAATAAAACACATCAATAACGATTGAAGAAACACCACCGCCAACGAAAAACAGAACAGTCCATCAGATGTCCCCACCCAACCCTGGTTGACATTCACCACTTCTCACCTGAAACGAATCATGAATCAAAAACACCTTGCGGTATAACGGTGCGGTATAACCATCCACCCGTGCGATGGAAGCCACCCACCT